TTCATGACAAACTTTTTATGTTTTCGGATTTAATTTGATAGTTGCTTCGAAATTTGTTCAGGAATATCTATATCCGATTGTTTATTTTCTAATTAAGGAGCCTATTGGATTTATCTGATAGATCGCACTGAAATATTCTAAAACAAGACAATTTGAATTGTCTGAGAACACTGTTCCACTGACATTTATTATACGTATATATCTATAACATATTTGGTATGTGAATGGCTATTAATTTTATGCATCGGACTTTTTACCATGGAGTAAAGAGAGGAATGGGGGAAGGAAGAATTTCTACTTCTAAACACTATTAAAAATCGTTATCATTAAAGGAATTGGGATCGGGAAATGCATGAAATATTGAAAACAAAATTTAGTTTACAAAATACCCTACGCCATTTTGTGCCGCTTTAAGCCTGAATTGCACTTGAATATAGACAAAGGTTTACTTAAAAATTAACCTCAAAAAAGTGCAATTTTCTAAATAAGTTGATTTATCTGGATGTTGCACCAAGGGCATGAATTAATATAGTAACTTCTAATCCATCACAACGATAACGAATAATTAAAATATATACACAGGTATTTGAAAATATAATAAAACGCGAAAAATGCTCGAAGTTAACACGGGAAAAAATATTCGAGTTATTCGTGCTCTTACCTTACCAACTGATATAATTGTTTCTATTTTTTAAATATTATCACTGTCAACTTAACAATTTATTAAAATATGTTTAGTCCACGAGCATATTTTCACAACTGTTTATTTTTATAACTACGGTTATAAATGACGGAAGTAAAAAAATGTACAATTTATTGTTGATAATTCTCATTTATTTATAGGTTTCATAATTGGCGGTATTGGAGGGTTTGGAGTTACGGGCGGTGCGCATAGATATTACACGCATAGATCATTCAAAGCGAAATTGCCATTACAAATTATACTTTTGGCGTGTTACACGGTATCAGGACAGGTACGGTACATCGGATGGATTTCGATTAAAAATAATACGATGAGATCAATATAATATATTAATACATCTACGCATTTAGAACACTATACCGGACTGGGTTAGAGATCACCGGGTTCATTGTGCCGATAATGGTACCGGTGTTTTTGTGGAACGAATCTTGGAATATAGCCGTGTTCGGAATGGCAATAGTTCGGTACGTGCTAAATTTGAATTTCACGTGGTCTGTAAACAGCGTCGCTCATATTTGGGGCAACAAACCATACGACACGTGAGTGTATAAACTATAAGTAATTAATTTTATGTATAACATACGAAGGTTTTGATTTTTTTTTTTTGTGTGTGTGTTTTCCAGACGTATTCAGCCCGTGCAAAACTTTTTCGTGTCTATAGTGGCCTTGGGGGAAGGGTGGCACAATTATCACCACGTTTTCCCGTATGACTACAGAGCGGCCGAAATCGGCGGATATTTGCTGAACATGACAACCATGTG